ACAAAAATTCTCTTTTCTCCCGCCAGCCTATGTTTTCATGAGCAAGGTAGCGTATACCCTCTTTGTAATTTTGAAGCAGTTTTTTCTCGTATTTTGACGAACAGAAGTATCCACGGAGCAGATTGAGACAAATTTCATTGAGAAAGCAGATAAGCCCTTTGTCGGCATTTTCAATGGCTGCTGCCCTAATGTTATGCTCGGGTTCTCGCAGGAGTCGTATTTGCTCTTTATAAGCTTTTTCATGAGCTCGCAAGACCTCCCATGCATGGTCGTCTTGATCGGCCTCATCCATATCCTCATCATAGCTGTCCTCATCATAGCTATCCTCATCGTCACTTTCCTCATCGTCACTGCTCTCCTCTACCCACTCCTCCCACAGGACCCCGTCTACTTCTTGATCATCGACACTCGTGTCGTCATCGCTCTCACCCTCGCCATCAGTGCTATCCTCCTGCTCGTCATCCACCTCATCGCCTTCAGTGCTATCCTCGTCGTCCATCTCTTTGCCATCAGTGCTATCCTCCTGCTCGTCATCCACCTCATCGCCTTCAGTGCTAGCCGTTTCTTCATACTCATTATCAGTTTTCACTTCAAACTGTTGTTGATTATGCGAATGCGATGTAGATTTGATCACCTCGACGTGTCCTTGACCGTCATTTGTAGTGATGGTTGTACCTGGACATTTTTTAACGGCACATCTCCAATACGTTTTGTTTTTGTTTTGGAGACGATTGTAATAAGAGTGGCCTTCGAAACAGAGTTTCTCTCCGCCATTTTCCAGCTTAATGATTTTGACATTCATTTTTATGCTGCTTGGTCAGGCGATGCCTTCAAACTGTACGATCTCAGCCCAAACGCTCCTTTTTTATATGCGCCGCTGTGACCGAACACTGACGAGCCCAGCCAAATATTACTTTAAGAAAGTGCCGATGGTGCCGTTGCTGTAATTCCCTAAATGCCCTGTAAGATGGCGCCAGTGGCGCTGTATTCGTGTTAGCTCGCGGTAGGTACCCGCATACACTCACACATGACTAAAGTTATCAAAAGCCCTGTCGGCGCTCCTGGCAGCCGAAATTGGCAAAATCCAACATATTGTTTTTGCCAATACGTAGGCCGTACCGTCCCCTATCCAAAACTATGTAGCGTGCCAGGTAGCGGTGACGTGATCACTGGAAAAAGTTTAAAAAACAGGTATTTGCGCCTGTGGTGACGTCACATAGACTGCCCGCACTACACGCCTGTAGCATATCGTGGCCTAGTACGCAGGCGTTTTTGACATTATTTAATTTTTCCAGTGATCGGGTCACCGCTACCTGGCACGCTACATAGTTTTGGATAGGGAACGGTACGGCCTACGTATTGGCAAAAACAATATGTTTGATTTTGCAAATTTCGGCTGCTAGGAGCGACCCGCGCGGCCCGCGACGTTTGGGCCCC